CGCTGCGCACCCAACCAAAGCACGCGCCATCGTTTCACTCAGCGGCGTTCTTCAAAATGTCAACAAATCATCCATTTATTGGACGAGAGTGGGGGGGGGGGTTCTTAGAGCATCTTCATCTATGGATATTTAGGTCCTTAGGCTTCAGACTTTAGTCTTGGTCATTGAAACCACTTGTTTTAGCTTGTTTCCTCCTCTGCTAACATCATCCTCAGGCGGTTAGCAGTCAGGGAAAAATTAACCTCATGAACTTTGTGACCTTTCTACTTGCTTGAAGCTAATTAACTGTGGCAGCAGTGTTTCCATCACTGGAACTAATGTGTTCTCGATGTATTGATCTGTTTATCTTCGAACTGTCCGTCAAACATGACGTTCCGTGGTGGCGGAGTGGAGGATGGGGGGGTGAAGTATGCATTCCTGCAGCATCCGCTTCCAGCCCCAGCTCTTCTGTACACAGTTGTCCTTCTGATTGGACAACATGGACACTCAGATGTGAATTGGTGCTTCTCTTTACACCAGGAAGGGTGTCAGACCGCCTCGCTCCTCTCGAAGAGAAGGAACACTCAATTGTACCATCACTCCTGTTGCACTTAATGCTCACGGTTTGGTGGCTTGTATACTCTTCATGTTTAGCATATCTTATCTCGTGATGAATACTTAATCAAACCTTAAGATACTTTTGATTTCTCACAAGGATATTGAGCAATAATCTCTACCACATTAGCAATCTAGTTGTTAGATTATATTGGGCTTTGAGATTTGATTTTCTGTGCCTTCATTTAAAATAAGAGTGAGTGCATTTTCCTGGACCGCTGAAGCTGCGCAGGTTTGGATGAGAGCTGTCTGTCAACCTTTGAAAAACCTCAATTGTGTATCAGTCACAGATATGGGCCCGAACCCGCACCGCGCTCCGCCTGTTAAATGCTAAATGGTCGGACTCTACGGGGCTTTTTCTCAATTTCCAACCACTCAAAACGCTTCGAGACTACACTCACTCATTCGCACACTGATGGCAGGAGCTAACGTGCGACCTGCCCCTCAGTAACCAACACTCATACACCGTAGTCACAGCTACGAGGACAATTTGTGTGTTAAGTGTCTCCTCGCCCAAGGCCACGTCCACAATCGGAAACAAGCGGAGCCGGAGATTGAACCACCGGTTATCTCATTAAAGGATGACCGTGACCTCCCCCCGAGTCACACTCGCCCCCTCGGTCACTCATTTAAAGGAGACATTTCGTACTTATTTTAAGACTCATACTTGTATTTGGGGTTTCCGCCTTACTTCAGCCACATTAACCTGTAGAGGAAGTAGAATTTTCATAATATCTCCCTTTAAATACTAAGAGACAGCAGTGGAAAATGCCATTTGGTATGGGGCTGTGGTCAAATGATTACCCGCTCTTCCTGTTGACCTTTTTGCACTCCTGTTGTCTTCTGTTCGTCCGCAGGAAGAGGCGGTTTTCAGCTTCATATTCTTTGGTTTCAAGGCGCCTGCCCCCGAGGGGAGTTTTGTGGCATATGAGGAGAGTTTCCACTCTGTCAGTGTGCTCGCTCCACACACTGTGTGTGCCTCTTCTCGCCCGACTAACCATTTGGGTTTCTACGACCTTTATTTCCACCATGTCCCCGGGACTCAAAGAAAAGCGTAGACAGTAATGGAACATTTTCACCACACCAGTTATAAGTTTCTCACAGTAACTAAGTAAAGGATCTGAGGATTGTTTACATCACAAAGACTGTGTTAATATTACTTAATTAGTTGAGGAGCCTCAGAAGGAATGTTGTTACACGCATGCTGCTTGATGCCGTTGCTAATTCTCTTTCTCTTGCCAGACCGCCAATGACTGCTTCATTGAGCATTATGGGAAAAAAAACGTCAAAATAGCCCATACATTTTATAAGCTAAAAACGCTTTTTCAAATTTGAAATATCTATGGATATCTTGGATTGTAAAATGCAACCAATAGGGCGATGAAGCACAGATCGTTTGAATATTTCACTTTTGTATCTCACTGACAGTTACGAGGGTCTCCGACCTCCATCAGACATGCATATGGGACTTGAATGTATTGCTGCTGAGGCTTATTCACTCATTCAATACTTGTTGAGGTTTACTAGTGTCTTCTAAACCTGCAGTGTGTGATAATGCTGACAGTGCTTGTTTGACGCAGGGGGGGGCTGTTTGCTTTTACCTTGAGTTAAGGAGTTAAGGAGCCAACATGCAGCTCCGCCTGCTGGCCTTTTGATGCTCACTGTGAAAGTTCCTTACCAGTGGGAAACAAATAAGCCGGGGTTGGACTTGTGCTAGAAAGAAATACTGTGCACGGATGTCCTAAAAATGCAACTTTAATGATTAAAGATGTGAAGAAAGACGTAAAGACGGCCTCTGGAGAGCAAGTGCGCACACGCACAGCAGCGGCTTGAGTGCATTTGTGTGTATCTGTACTGTGTAACAGCATTCCAATGATGGCTGTGACACAGGCTGATGTCTGCTCAGGGCTCCAGTAATAGAGATATTGTGTCTTCAATGCATTCCCTCATCTCTCCATAAACGGCATGCTGAGTTTAAATTTTCAGGGATGGACTTTTACATTCAGCATTTTTATAGAAGACATTCAGACAGACAAACGATACAACGTATGCACTTAGCTCGTGGGGAATTATAGCCAGCCTACAGTAGCTTATAGCACTTTATTATAGTATAAATATAATAACAGCTGACGTACGTCTGATACAAAATAGGAATAGGGGTTGTTTCTCTGGTCATCAACAGGATTTTTCCAATATCCTGAAGCCCTTTTTAACAGGATCGTCAATATGCTGCATGTTCTTCTCACCGAGCGTTGGCGTTTTTTTTAAATCAATGCTTTTTCATAAGGCGAGCACAGAGCATCAGAAGTGTTCCTCTGCGTCTCTGCTGCGGGGTGACCTTTCTCATGTAGCCACATCTCCATTACACTGCACGAACATGCAGGCACACGCGTGTTTACGCGTGCTCCAGTGCACCGTGTACATCGATTGTGTTCTAAACGCGCGGTTATGTGTCAGCGTTGACGGCGAGGGGGCTCATAGTTTGACTACTTTCTGGCTGCTTGCCCAAGATAAGGACTATAAAGAATCGACTGTGGGATAATGAACCTGCATGACACACCTGCAGCTGGGGGAGCAACTCCAAGGACGTTTCACAACCTGCTTCACTCCCACATCTCATCACCGGCAGCGGATGGCGGAGGCTGGTGATTACAGACAGGTGTCGGGGGGCAGAGCGGAGGGGCCATTTACGTGATGGAGCTTATTTGACTGACACAACAGTGCTGCTCGAAGGTCAAGAAGGTGCTTATCGAAACATCTTTGGAAGCTGGTTCATGCTGGGTCTGAGTGCGGTGGTTGCAGGGATCTGAAGCCTGAACTTTACACTGTATGAGTACATACAGCAGGGGAGATTATTTTTGTTTCCCAAAGATGAAAATACATAAACTCTGTGTGTAACATGTCAGCGTGCCGGCTGACCTCATGCACACAAACCATTTACAGGATCTTATAAAGGATACGTCTAAATAGGTTAGCTTAAAGTAGCTAAAGGAAATGGACAGTTAAAATAACTTGGTTTGGGTTTAAATATTTCAATAAAGAAATAATTGTAAGGCTCTGAAGGACAGAATAGTGGAGTATATGTTTAAGCCACAAGGCTTCCACCCTTCAGGGAGAAGTGAGGACAGGAGACACACCTGGACCTCATCTCGTCAACGAGTGGGTACAAAAGGACGAACAGGAAGGTGGTGGTGCTCCGTTACATCTCCAAGGTGGAGAAGTAGGTCCCGGCGAGTCAGATAGGGGCCCGGTCCGATTTAGTTTGGTGAACTGGGTTCTGGAAATGAGCTTTTTTTTATGTGATTTTTGGTTCTACATTGTTTTATTGTTTTATTTCTTACACGTAGTCTTCCTCTGACTGCTGCGCCGCCATTTATGTCGCAGTCCTCCCTCTGTGTTTGAGTTTATCAGAAGGGCTTTGGGCGTGTCAAAGAAAACAGTCTAGGGACCGCTAGTGGAGATTAGCAGTGTGCTATTTAAATTTTTCCTAATAGTAGCGTGCATCTCATATTTGTTACACACGTAAGACTTAAACTAGTCAGCACAATGAAGGAGAAGGAAAGAGGCTGCCTGTATTGACTATAACCGACGGCTGACTCAGGTCACTTTGTGCGTCAGGGTGGTTGTGGAAAAAACGATAAAGCACATCTCCCCGGGTGTCATAAAGCTTTGCTTTATGGCCAGTTTGTGTAGCCTTGCAGATTAAGTTCAAAGAGAGACGGACTATCTCCGCTTCATGCATCTTAAATCCTGTTTCTCTTCAGCTGGATGTGTAGGTGAATTGTGTGGTCTGCACCGAGATATCCCCGGTGTCAGCGGCTATAGGGCCGCTACAAGAAGAATGGAGGGGATGGGGTGTCTAAAAGTACATTATTAAAGGGACAATTTCACCTCAAATGTAATGGTGCTGACAGAACAGCACTACCAACTCACTTGTGTAAGATACTTTCCCTGCAGTGGCTCTCTTCGCCGGTTAATGCATTAGAGCTCATAGCTCGCAGTCGGCTTGCAGCCTCCGTGAGTAGATGCAAGGATTTGAAAGGGAAGAAATGAGTCATGCAATGAGTTCCTTAGAAAATACTTCCAACATTTATCCCAGCAGAGCAGCTCTGCATGGAGATGAATAGGCTGGTGCCTGGAGATGGCAGACTTCCTCTCTCTGTGAGACATAACGACCAATTTCAAATAGGGGAACTGGCAGAGAACCCGCAACTGTCTAATCTCTAAACGTCCTCCACTGCAAACAGCTGGCCCGGCTGAATGATCCAGGTATTATTCTTGTTCAGGGTCAAAATTAATTAACGTGGGAGCGGCATGTGTTCTTTTGAGTCGGAAACACATTTGTTCAACCGCATTGAAATTTGAATGAAAGACATGCCACATGAATAAAAAGACAATTTGTACCATTCTGTTTCCCTACATTTGAATAATTTATTTTTTAAAAAGTCTAGAAAATACACTGACAAAAAAATGTTCAAACACATCCTGTCTTAACATTTGCACTAAAAAATAATGAATGTTTTCGTATTCTCAACATCCTAACATAAAATGTATCTGTGTGCTGCTGAGGATTTATATATGGACAAAAGAATAACATAACAAACAGTGTAATATCTCATCATGATTCAGTGTTTTGCTAAACATGTTGTGTTTTCAACACATACAACATCAATCAATTGACCTTTGTGTGTAACACACACTTGACATTTGGCACTTTTAATAACAAAACCATTTAAAAAAGTGATTTTAACTCACTTCAGGAATTATTAGATAATTTACATTCATTTCATCAGCATCATGACAGAGAAGAAAGCCAGCTGTAATAAATAAACATTTTCTTGTTTGTTTACTTTTTATATCATCTACCACGTGGGCTTAAAGGTCCTGCGCTCCACTAAACTGTGAGACAGGTTTCTGAGTTCGGCGGCAGAGTGAACCTGCTTGTATCCCAGCAGGGCCAGAGTGTCGTTGCACAGGTTCTGCACGGCCCTCACGATGTCAAAGCCCAGACGAAGCCTCCAGCTCTCCGACGTCGCCCTGGAGTCCCTGGCGGTGGAGTACCTGTAGTTCCACTCTGAAGGGGACGGCGCGTTGCTCTTGGTGTTGTTCGCGATCCACATTCGCACCCTGTCCTCCATCTCAAGCCCCACGAACTTGTAGATCTCGGCAGCCTTGTCCCTCGGATTGAACGCCAGGTCCTCGTATCGCACCAGGAGGTAGCGTCCCCGCAGCCACGCGGGCCTTTGCAGCCCTGTCTCTGCAGAGGCCGCCATGTCTTTGCAGGTGCTGGTGATCTGCGTCAGGTCCACGTATCGAGGCTGCCGTCCCGTGGCGTTCCATATTTTCCAAGCGCGGAACTGATCCGAGAAGGCCATCATGCGCGAGGCGAGGACGGCTCGGGGGTCCCTCACCAGGTGGACGATCCTCAGGTCCAGACGTGGGTCCTCCGTCAGGGTGCGCAGGTCCCCCACCTCAGGGACCCGCACGGTCTTAATGGCCACATGTTCCCTTGACAGGCACGACACAGAGGCCAGCGTGAGGTTCAGGGCCCCACACTTCTTGGGACACCAGGTTTCGTCAGGCGTAGCCGAGCCCGCCGCGCCGCCCCCGTTCAGGCACACGGGAGGGGAACAGAGAGCGTGGCTGGAGCTTCGGCGGAAAAAGGAGTTGGTGACGTGGTCCTGGGGCTCGGGGCGAATGTAATTCTCCATGAAGTGAAGGTCACAGGTGTACAGGTTGAGGAGGAGGTCCCTGTAGGCTCCCAGCAGGGCCCGGCGGTCCAGCGTGCGACGCAGCCTGCTGCTGGAGTTGGTGAACGCCTGCTGGACGTGGTAGAGAGGTTCAAAGACGTAGAAGATGCCCGGGTGCTGGTTGAGGAGTTGCCCGGTGAAGGAGGAGCCGCTGCGCGTGGTGGCAAACAGCAGGATGTGCTTCCGAGGTGAATCGCCGGGCGTCCAGCTGTCGTCACACAAGGCTCTCCACCTGGAGTCTGGGAGGACGAAGAACAACAAAGTTAATTGACACGTGACACTTATTTTCGGTTGCGGGGTGTCGTCTTAAAACAGGCTTATTAACCAATATACACAACAAAAACACAACTTGTTAAACCAAGTTATTTCAGTTATTCTAGAGGAGTTACTTCAGCTCGTAAAAGTGAAGATGTCGGTTTTCATCACAATTCAGTCCGGGTGAAAACCGAACTACTGAATCAAGCCAATAAAGCTTTAATAATTTAGAGGGTAAACATGCCTGAGTAAGTTGCTTGTCTGCTGGCGGTTACCGAAGGGGCTTATGAAATGGCGGATCTCTAAATATAGTGCAAATAGCTAACGTGTAATTACTGCTGATGAGGAGTTGATTGCAACACACAGGAGCCGCAGCTACAGCTGCACTATGAGAGGGGATTAATGGAGATAAATTGGAGGATAATTGTAAAACAAATGACACATTAAATTTCGCTATGCTCCCCACTTGTTAGGAATTCCCTTGTTTAATGATCTTCTTTTCTTTTTCTTGATTTTCAGTCACACGGTTAACATTTTACAAATACTAACAATGAACTTATTCCACCCTACCTTTGCTTCATGAGCTGTTCTCGCACATTTCTGGAATACACACGAGCTTGTATCTGCACACACCGACAGCTACACACACATGTGGGACAATCCTGTCTGGCTATGGAGGCGTACCTCTGTGGTGTCTGGTCTGGCAGCGGTAGGCTCCCTGACAGGGCCCAGACAGCGAGTCCCTCAGGGTGCGGATGGCCGTGTACTGGACCCCGAGAGACGCGCACACCAGGAGCAGCACCGTCTTCCAGGAGCACTCCATCCCGCCCCCCCCTCTGGCTCTGCATCCTACACGCTGACGCCGGCGGGGAGGCACGGAGACACACATAATGAGATTTCATTTTGATGCTTTTTTTTTTTCTCAGCTTCATACGTGTGCAGCTCCTACTCCTTTACGTCTGCAGCCTTCCTCTTTTCTGGAGCAATTCTTGCTCAAGGGCACTACAACAGGAGAAAGTATGTCACATAAACTTTTCCCTTTGAGGTTTCCCCTTGCCAGTTAAGAATATGAACAATTTCCCAACAATTTGTTTGACAGGGTTTTCTAGTGAAGTTGCTGAAAAAGGACAACACTCTCCTTTCTGTAACTTGGCTTAGCATAAAGAAGGAAATTGGGTGAAACACTCGCTCTTTGCAAAGATGACAACGTCAAACCTTCACAGCTCGGTTAATAAAATGTCATGTTGATTGGTGAGCCTTAGAGGTCTTGGTAGACAAATTGTGTGACTGTCGAACAGGAAAAACCAGCAAAGACCTGTCTTCCCAGGTTTACAGTTTTTAGTTGGATTTTAGTAAGCAGATAAAATAATTTACCGTAATGTAAATGATTCATTGAGTGCAAAATGGATGAGAGTTTGCTCTCTTTTTCTCTACAAACAAAGCAAACAGACAGCTCATTTTGCGAATTTCTACAAGAAATATAGAAGCCGATGTTAGAAGCTCAACATAAACTGGTTCTGCGTTTGTTTCCTAAAGGATCTGCCGATTTGTTCTGCAGAAAAACACAAAGGTCAGGCCTTTACGGCGAAATGTTAGCAATAATTTCCCATCTACAGCTCCACTGTTCCAGATATTCTGTGCACACGTGCATATTGCATTTCATTTTTGCTTTCCTTCTCTTCTGGGTAATTAAGCCTCTAAGCCTAGCAGAGAGCTACGTACCAAGATAAATATAGCTGTCTTCATATAGATGAGTGGAGAAGTTTCCTTTGTACACTTCCAATTTTTTTGCTACTGGGCATGAAAGAGCCATGGGGAGATGTGATTTTCCAAATGGATTTTGAAAAAAAAAAGGTACTGCTATCCATTTGTCCCTTCGCACCAAACTGATGGTAGGTAATCACAGCAGATCCCTGGGTGCAAAGTGTGTCTCCATCACTCACTAAGGCAATCATAATCAAAACCACAGGTATATGTCGTATTACTGACAAAAATAAATATCACCTTCCTGTTTGCATCTTCTCGCACTTTCCCTGTCACTCTATCTCTCTCCGGTCTGCCTCTTGTTCATTAATGATGTTTATGTGTCCCTAGCAGACTCATATCCTCAGGAATGTATCACACAGAGCTCAGATCGGCTTTTGATGTTCCATTAATCACAAACAGCGCTAAAAACCAAAGACATTTACTCCGTGGGTGAGGGGAAAAGAAATCGAGTCGACATCATGAGCCATTCTGTTTGAATATGACAAAAAAAAAAACCTGCAATCACAGAATTAAACCATCAGGGGCGAAACGTTGTTGGTTGCAGACAGAATGACAGTTTTCGGGATCCTGAAATGTTTTGTTCTCTCGCTGCACGGCATGTTAAAGAAAAGAAAAAAAAATCTGAATATAGGAGGATATGAATGACTGCAGATAATGCAAAACTTTGATCAAGCTTCTTACTATCTCTGACACTTGAGAAAAGAAGGGAGGAAAAAAAAAATTCTTTCAATTTGACAGTTCTGCCATCCATACCCAACATGTACTGCACAGCTGGCTGACCGAGGCACATCACACAATTCCTCAGCGACAGGTTTTGTTTTCCTCTCCAGTCGGGATCGGGGGCTCAGTGAAGTCTCTGCTACACACCCCGGTGCCCTCCGGAGAATGAGGACAGATGCTTCAATAGATTAAAGCAATTTGATTTGCAAGTCCTCTTTTTCTCCCTGGCTTATGACTCCTCCCATAACGAGACTCACAGCAGGAATAATAGACACTCTGTCAACAGTTGGAAAGGGACCGCGAGCTTCAGATGGTCTCAGCTTTTGCAGGCCCCCCCCCCCCCCCCCACCCCCGAAAAAATAACCCTGCTTACAGGGGTTAAAAGCCCACAGGGGGCAGGATCGATCAAAGACTAGTCTGTGCACACACGCTTCTAGGGCAGGTTTGAGCTGTAATTTCAGAAGCAGTTGGTGTTGCTTAGTTAACTCAGCTAGCTGTGATGGAGGTAGTGACGCCAAGGCAATTGCCTGTGTTGAAAATAAAGGCCACAAATGAGGTTAGAAGTTAGCGATGCAGCTGGGACTGAGGGATTTGGGATTGAGGGATATGACAGTGCCAAAGATTTTTCTATTAAGGCACCCCTGTGTGCTCACAGACCTTCTGCGTCAGGTGGTTTATTGGCAACGATCAATCCTGAAGAACAGAGTTTTGTGCCTCCAGTTAGTCCCTCTTGCTCTTTCTGTCTCTCAACCGACATCACACACACACACACACACACACACACGCGCGCGCGCGCGTACATAAATGCAGAGTGCCACAGGCGGAGAGCAGAGCGGAGCCGCTCCGGCGTGCAGAGGATCTACATCTGACCCCGGGCTATACAAAGGAGCTCCCGTGATAGGGGAGAAGATGAATCCCATTCTACACGATTCCTCCAGCACACACACGAAATAAAGATGCTACACAGAGGAAATTAATGAACAGCATGAGAAACGTGCAATTTGATCCGACCCCGTCGTCGCTCACATCCATACAAAGCCCCGTGAGAAAACACATTCACAGTTAACTCAAAAGTGAAGGTTAACTGTTTGAAGACACTGATTGAATGTTCTTGTTTAAACCATATTCCAGCACCATTTGAAGTAGCAATTAAACACGTCGTCATAGTGACACATCAACAGTTTCTACTTACAGGACAAAAAAGTGAAAATGTGAAATGCACTAATTATTTTTGCATTTAATAAGCAGCAATATGAATACAACATGAACAATGTTCTTTAAATTCAACTACAGTTGATAGGACACATTTGCTGAACCGGATCTTCCTTTCCTTTCTAAAAAATATATCATCGTCAAAGACACTACGGGGGCAGGTTTCAGGTGGTCTGCCATGTTTTCAAGGCGGACATCTGTCAGAAGAGTTGACACACATACAGGTCATGCGCATCAGGAATATATAGTTGGAAGATAAACATGATAAAAACAGGTGGGAGTAGTCGGCCTCGGATGTAGACGATCATCTTTGGCACCACAAGATTATGAACATTGACGCACAAACATCTTGATTATCAGATGACCCAGAACGCCATGTTCCTCTATGTGAAAGAGCAGACTCTCTGTCATGCTAAAGTAGAACATTATTGCAGTTTTTCCAACAACATCTGTAAATAAAAACATTAAAAGAGATTTTAAAAATCACTTTTGGCCCGTTATACCTTTTGCCGGTAACCATAGTCTATTTGTTAACATCTATTCCCTGGAAGATGCTCACTGGAATATTACACAGAATAATCGTTTGTATTATGCAAACAAAGATGTGGACAATGTGTTTTACTGTAGTCCTACTCGCTTTCTCGGTGTATTCTGCATATAAAAACAAAAACAAATTTGATAACAACCACATCCCATAAAACCAGTTGTTACCAATAACACAGGTCCATGCCTGCACAACATGCTTACACCACAAACCAGCAGCCCGCCCACATCGTCAGCAGGATAGAATGATGATATGATTCCGATTGGCACTTTTGGAATAAAGTAGTTTAAAGTACTTACAAAGTACATAGTAGAGTGACTTCCCTTCGTTAGAGCACAGTCGAATTTCCAGGCCAATGCAACTTTCAAAGTTTAAGGACCTGCGCATGCGCACGCGTGTTCCACCAGTGGACACACTGGCGTGGATCACACAGACAGAATGTGATCTCATTACGATGTCGTGGGAGCTTTGTTGGCAGCGCACAGTCTATGGTTCCATATTAATTACATTTTTTAATGAAAAATGAATAACGTCCGGTGTGATATGATTTGGGGGAATTACATTCAAGGCAACCACTATGCATATCGTCTCTCTTTCAACCTTTAAATTGAACATTTTAAAACAGAATGGTGTTTTGTGACGAGTAAATTCGTTTGTGAAGAGCGAACATCAACTAATTTACAATTAAATTAAAAATCAACGTTGAAATCCCGGTTGTTGCAGTAACAACGAGCAAACATTTGTTTCGGGAAATAGTGAAATATTTGCAGTGATTTACACCCAACTAACTAAATTACTTACGACTAAATTAAAAACAATAGCATCATTCTTTAAATAACGTCAACCGGTTAAAACAAACATATCTTGACATCCATACGGCCGCGTGGAGCATCGAAGGCGATAAAGTGAGACCGGGTCACTTTAAACTCCCCCTCAAGTACCGCTCACACACTTTGGCTCGCTGTGTGGAGTAACGACGATGTCCTCACCCCTCACAGCATCACTATCGTGACACTCTTTGTCGGGTTCGAGCGTCTCAGATGGACAAAGCGCGTCCCCCCGCACGTCGCTGCGCGTAAAATGCAACAGATACAAAATAATAATATTGCCTTACCATGAACGCACTCGGTCAGGTACGGAGCGACTTCTACGGCAGATCCCGTCCTCCGCGCTGCATCTTTTAAATTGTGTGCGCGCGTGTGTGCGCGCGCGTGTGTATGTGTGTGTGCGTGCGGGCGCGCGCCACAAGCGCTGCCGCCGGTGTGTCCAGAGCCGAAGTGGATTCAGAGCTGGAGATGCGCCGTGGACAGAGCGAGAGAGAGAGAGAGAGAGAGAGAGAGAGAGAGGCAGAGCGAGGATGCGTGTCTCACCCCTCCGGAGACCGCACCGACTACCGGAGTCTCTAGATTGGATGCAAGATTGCCTTGCCGTGCATTACGCTCCGATGCCGTAGGGTACGTGTCACAGCGTCTTGGAGATGCATCTTATCTTAGCAGCCAGTAAACATAACTGACATAGTGAGGTATCTGACTCGCAAAAAAATAAATAATAAGAGACAAAGGAGAAGAATAGCTGCTTGTTTTGCCATCATTATTTCATGTGTTTGCAGGTGAGGACCAGACGCTTCCCATATTTCCTCCAGGCAGGTTCCATCAGCTCAAGCCGGGCATCAACAATCATTTCCCACCATAATTGTCATTCCTCCCTTTTTCTGTCACTGCCACGCTCTCTACAGGGTTACACACACACACACACACACACACACACACACACACACACACACACACACACTTCTCCCACGAGATAACAGTGGCACAATGACCTCTATTTTTCCTCATTCCAGTGAGGATGACTGCTATCATCCGATGTGTGTGTGCCCCCCCTCCCCCTCCCCCTCCTCCCTCACTGTGCTGCAGACTCGCAGTGTGAAGGGATAGGTGCCACATCATTGCCCCCCCCCCCCGAGGTGTACTGCGGGGTCAGACTTGGCCTTTGACAGCTCTATTACTCCTGGGAATAGGGGGTCGATTCTGTTTGCTCTCTTGCAGCTTCATCTCCCGCTGTGGCAGAGTCACGCTGGCTGAAGTGTGTCTTCACTGACGTGCAGACAGATTGGCGAAATAACGCCGCTGTCGTCGGTGCGTTTCAGTTTCGCGCTCGCGTCATTTCTGCTGTTGCAAGGTTTAAGCCGATTAGCTGCAGCTGTGGATCGGCCCACCTCACCTGTGTTGGGGCATTTCTGGCAGTGCTTCCACCAAAAGGTGGTAAGAAATGATCTCATATATAAGAGCTAGAGGAGGTCTACCTGGATACAGACCGGGCTTTTTCCAGAGATAGAGGGTTGAGGCACTTCACTAGCCAAAGGTCTTCTCGTACAAGCACACACAATGTACGACGAGCTGCCAAGAACTCCCAGCGTCCTCCGCGCCTCGCCGCTGAACCCTCGCTCCGCCTGCCTACGGCGTCGATTCCCCCGGCTCCCGGCAGCCGAACGCCCCCACAGCTCCTGGGTGAGATTTGAGGCAGGCAATAAGAAGATAGGTGGAAATTTCTGGAAAGGGAAATCCGAAGCCTCATCGGTCCTCCGTGTTTAGCGAAGCCTACACACTCCTCACGACGCACAAGCGGATAACATCCGATGCACATTGGAGACTCGGAGCGCCTTTCCTTTTCCCCAACAAATGCCTCTCTAATCTGCACTCTTTCTCCCCAACATTTCTGTGGTCCAACCCGAATCCAATATTTAACATAAATACAGCAGTCTTTCATCATAAAGGGGATGGAAATGCAGCTGGTCGGGATGACCTTGTCTCCTTAGCTCAATTACTGCTTTTCTATATCTGGGCTCCCTTGGCAACTTCCTCTTTCCTTTAAAAGATGGTATCCGCCAGTCAGATTATCGTTCATCAGCTTGACTCAGGAGTCAGGGACCTTCCTGTGCAGGAAGGCGAGTTGTTTCAAGAAGCTTCCTCTCATTTGAGGGAGTGAAGATGAACAAAAGCAGACCCTCGCTGTGCTTATCCGTCCATATCGGTACATGTACGGCTATACGGCCGCAGGAGGAAACACTTTGGCCGCACTGGTCAAAGGCAACAGGCCGCTAAGCTCTAACCTCATCACCTCCAAACGTGAGTTCAGACCACAGGCTGTTTCAGAAAGCACTGTAAGCTTTTACCGTGCGTCATTGGTGCAACATTTGGTGCTTCTGGACGTATTTTGAAGTCTGTGTTTATTCTTCCCAAACAGCCGATACACACGTTAAACAAGCTACTAAGCGCGTTACGTGCTTGCGTTCAGCTAAGCTTCCGACTGACTCAGAACTCGACAGAAGCTTTGGTTCTTTCGGATATTACAGCTAATATTTCTCTCCTTTCTCTTTCATTTACAAAATAGCCAGCAAATTGATTTGATATCTAATGATTTGAATATTTCTTCAATGTGAGCATTAACTAACAGGGAATTTCCATTAGTTTATTTTGTTCTGACTGCACACAATACATATTAATGGATTGTATTTTTGGGCACAATTAGCGTAATGTTTTCCTATCTTTTTATTTGTAATGCTGGCCAGCATTTAACCAAAAGATCGCTTTCCTCTGTATTAAAAAGGGAAATGATTGTTTCACTAATGTGTTAGTGAAATTATCCATGTAACACTAACACCAAAAATAATGTCTATTTCTTAAAATTGAATTAAAAGATGTTTAATACTTCGCATAAAAGATCCATGTTGGTAAGATATGGAGTTTTCTATGAGTCTAACATCCCTTGAGGTCATGTCTGAATTCAATGATTCTGACCCCAATCAGACTCAGTGTCTGAGTCACTTTGGTTGCCTGTTATCGTGAAGCACAGAGAACTCCTGACTGGGCTGCCCTGTGCTCCGTCTTCAACAGGCTATTAAGGGAGAAGAACATCATCTGGCACGAATTTGTTTAGCCCGCAGACAATCCCTGCGCTGGCTGTTTCTAAATCACAGAAGGAACGGCCCCGTCTTTATGAACCCGAAGCTTTCAGGGCCAACATTTACCCAGCTGTGGTGTTCCCTGCCAACTTTCTGCAAGCCTTCATTTATTGAATTAAAGGCTACGGTCGGGTGGCTGGTCGAGGCGCTCCGCTGCCCGAGAGGAATACGTTGAGTGACACGCGGGGCGATGAGACGAACAAGGGACAAGGTTGGGACGCGAGGGACGAGATGGACACCAGAAAGAGAGGCTTCTCCGGCGAGGAGGATGGAGGGAGAGCGGGGAGGGGCAACGGACGGGGTTTTTTACGCACGCCATCTGTGCATCAGAGGTGTGGCTGCGCTGGCTCGCCTTCACCACGCTGTGTGATTGTTTTTGGAGAGATCTCTTGAATATAGATGGTCTCATTTCCCCCCCCCTCGCAATTATTTTTATTTCATATGCAGATGAGTGAGCAAGTTGGCTGCACAGTTGTGTTGTCAAACCCTGCTGTGTGCAACAACAACAACAACTAAAAATCTGCTTCCACACTGTAGGGCGTGTAATCATCCGGCTTCTGCGCATGGGCGACTCCAGGCCTCGTGTAATGAAATTAAAACTTCTCTTTTCTCTCAAGTTTTCTCCTCGCACCCATCAAGACATTCATAAAACAACTCTTTTACTTCTGTCACGCCCGAGGAGCCAATTACATGACAGCGATTCTTCTGGCCCAGCTTCCCTTTTGCGTGCAAGCAGACTCTTCTCAAAATGTTCACTTGTGATGCTTCATTCCAGAACATGAAACGGTTGTTGCTTGCAAACATCACACAATGAGCAACAATGCCAGAGGATTACAAATAATATATACCTCTGGTGCACCTTCTTCTCTCCGACGGGTTTCACCGCACACGGGAGCGGAAGTTGTATTATCACAGCATCCCGGGAACACACGCCCACTGGTTCCAAAGTCAAAGGCTTCAAATCGAATCCACCGAAAGCCTTTGAGACTTCCACGGGCGAAGTCACTTTTGTTGAGAGTGTTTGATTGGTCCCGGTTTCGCTTGGATTGGCCATCTGAAAATAACAGCCATAAATTCCTGCGTGGCTGCGACCCAACCAGACGCCTCCTCGCGTCTGGGTAGGGAGCGGCCTGCTATCACAGGGAGGAAAAGCCCCGAGAGGCTCGTCTCCCTAACATCACTCCCTTTTTTTTGGGGGGGGGGTTTGCTACCCGTGAGGTTTCCGCTGCAGCCGTTTTACTCCCAGCATTTCTGCTGCGTGAAAACCAGCCCATCAGCGGTGCTCTCTGCTGCATAATTGGTGCCATTAGCACAACACATCAGACACTGGCAAATAGCAAGGTGCTCTCTCCCCCCCTCTTCCTTCTCTCTCTCTCTCTTTCTGTCTCTCTTGCTCTCACCCCCCCCCCCCCCCCCCCCCCCCCTCTCTTTTTCCCAAAAATTTTTTCCCCCCCCAAGGGCCAAAGGGGTCGCCTTTTTGTTTTTTGGGGGGGAAATGGGCCCGGGAAAATAAAGAAAAATGGGAACCCCCTGGGTTTGACCGGGAGGGCCCAAAAGCCCTGGGGGTTTTACCAAAAGTTTTCCCCTGACCGGGGAAAAAAAGGGGCAAAAGGGGGGGGGGGGGGGGGGGGGGGGAACCCCGGGGGCTCAAAATAAACATCCCCCCCCGGGGTTTTGGATTGTTACATTGGTGTAAAAAATGGAGTGTGTATGTCTCGAACATCAGATCATCCTAACAATTACTAAAACACAATTTCCTGGCTGGTTTAATAGAATTGTATTTTTTTCTAACTTTGGTTCTGCACTGCCAATGCGATGACTCAGAGTTTGCTTACGCTCAAACCCGCACGCTGCGCAGATGGAGGCTGAAAACCCGCCCTTCCACACGCACACAGAGGGTCTGACAGATGCCTCCACAATTAAGCCACTTCCATTTATAGTCTCTCCCCGTAACAAGGCGAGGGAAGCCGGCTGCTGGATCTTCCTGCTCTCTGAGGCGTACTGACCCCCCCCCCCCCCCCCGCCGCTGCGTCGGGCCTCCCGGGGGCCTTTTTGTGTGGCCGAGCCCTCTCGTAATTACACCTGAGAGCACCGAGCAGCTGCTCTTCTTTCACATCTGTGTCTCCATCAGGCCTGCAAAGGGGGCGTGATTCATCCGTGCTTCTCAAACTCATTTTAACAAGTTGTCAGGAACAATTTGACAACTGTGGCTGTATTTTTCTTTGCTACAGACATTGTTTGTCTTTTCCTACCACAGTAGCATATCCATGGATCGTGGATGTGTTTTTTAAAGGTATCTATTAAAACAAAATTGGGGTAAATGTCTAAATTACTCCTTTTACTCATAGCTATCATAGTTCGTTCGTGGCTTAATCCGACGTTTTTTCATTAAACTATTCTGTTATTAAGAGATGTTATTACACACAGGTAAACAATTAGTTTTGGATTCCCCTAAAGGTCCATTTGTTCTCTGCAGCTGCAGTATCAAATATTGGCCCAACATCAAATTAAGAACAATGGAATACAATTTTGTGTGTGTTTTTTTATACGCCGGCAAGAGAAAACCATATTTCCTCCTTGGATGTATCGGCACTGCTGTGGATAATACATATTTATCAAGGCTCCAAGGGGTGAAGTGTGTAGGAGTATTAAAATCAAAACAGGTTTTGGATCGTCAGTTTTGCAGCTTGTTTGTTGAGTGTCAAAGCACATTCGGTAATTTGACCCCTGCAAGTCAATATGGCCCTAATAGTTATACTATAATATTTTACCCAATTTAAAACAACAATTTGGATATATGTATAATCATTTATTTGCCAAGAGTTAGATGAGAGGATTGTCTGATTTAATTCTCCGCCATGAAGCAAATCCTTTAATGACTTTTCGTTTTCCAACCTTTCCCTTTTGTTGAGATAAACTCTTTTGGACAGAATAACTACGTTGAAGCTAACGCTTTAACTACTGAAATTGATATGCCTGTATATATTTGACAGGAGCCTTTCTAGACCCCGATGTTACCGGCGTGACAGGACACGTGTTTAGTTGGCCGTGATGCAGACGAGTTGCCTTCAGCAGGTAAAAAACCTGCTCATTAACTCAGAACATGGATAATCGCAGCCCAATGAGACAAGCGTTGGCTTTCTCGGTTTCTACGGAACAAAATGAGATTATATACTGAGGATGAAACATTTTCCAGATTCTTTCTTCAAAGTGTTTATTAATATGTCAATGCACGCTTCACACATTTGTTAAAATACAAACAGGACATTATATTGTTTTATGAAATGCACAGTTGAATCAATATGTCAACAGTCAGCTACAGTCAATAACTCATGCAAGCACTTTACATAATGTCTTGGGAATCTTCCTGACTCGCTATCACAAGATGATAGAAATGATATGGAGGTTGTGATGACTTAGAAAAATAAAAAACAACTTTAAGATTAATCAAAAATTTGAAACGAGAGACACAAATCCATGCACTCAGTGAGCTTAATAAAGAAATAGTTGTCAGTTATTTACATTAATTACCTTAAAAAACTCCTTTTTTTATGTGCACGGCACTAATACTGTCACAGGGCAGTGACTTTATGTTTCTTTGACACCAGAGCTTCAGGTACTTTTAGTTCGTTACGACCTTGTTGACTGATGAGCAGCCTGACTGGTTTTTCTTTCTGTCATGACAGCCGTTGCACTTGTTGACTTCTGGCCAATCCAGAATTTACACTGTATGCCAGTAAGGGACCGTGAGAACAAAAATGAAGGCAAAGGACATCTCTTTCACAATCACCAACTACAGTTTTATGAACAGATTTAAAAGCACAATCAATGTCTTTTGGATGTAGATTTCCTCGGAGCTACTTTACAAAAGCCGTTAAACTCTGTATTCATTATTGGGGGGCTAAAGCTTCAGTACAACCAGGATCCACTCTTATTGTTAATTCTCTGTTCGCTGTGACCTCTGCTTTCCTCTTTATTACAATCACTGCTACAATCCCTCCAACCACCAGCAGCAGCACTGCCAGTCCTGCACCCACAGCATAGGCAGCAACATTAGAGCCTGTTGATGGATCGGCTTCGGGGGCAGATTTCGGGCTCCTTTCTACTACTACTGTTTTTATGGTGGGTCGAATTTCTACCCTCAAATCGGTCTCCTGTTTGAAAATGCATTTGAATGTGCCATTGTCGAAGTACTGGTCATCCTCTATTTGCTCTTCAGAGTCTGCATCCTCAGTATCATCTGTGTATTCGTCCAGGAAGTTGTCTTCTAAAACAACACACCAGTACACTCCTTGGTCTCTCGCCTCCAGGTGGAATATATTGAACAAGGAGCCATTCTCAGACAGAGACAGTCTTCCTCTCAGATCCCCGGGGATGTGAACAGTCGCGTCCCTTGAGTCGTAGATAAGTTTATTTTTGCCCGATCCAGGCTCTCGGCGGTGCCACTGCACCCTTTGGATATCGTCTCTGTCAGCGTGGCACTCCAGCAGCGCGTTCCCGCCCTCAACGGCAACTTTTTCTTGGGATTCTTTTTGGTAACAATTAACCAGAAAGTACTGCAATTCAAGCAAGGAGGAGATGCACGAATAGTCCCCACTGAGCTCATCAGAAAAAGCAGGAATTACCAATGAGAAGTCTTCAGATTTGTCACCGAATAACACGTGCATCTTCTCGCTGTCACCATCGACCCTCCCAAAGGGAGACTCCCAGTGCTGGTCGTTCCCTTCAGAGGGGCATGGTAACACCACTTTGTCCCCGTCCAAGGCAAAAATGTACCTGCTGTCACTGCCATCTGACGGTTCCACATTCTGAAAACTGAGACAGTTCTCACCTTTGCTCACAAGACAAATAAAATGCAGATTTTTCTTTAACTGGCTGTTTTTGAGTAAGAGCAACGTCCCGTGATCTCTGACCTCCACCACACTCTGTAGCTCCTCCACCAGCGGCACCAACGACACGCTGCTATCCAGGAGGAGCGTTGGCTTGTATGACGGATACGACTCGTAGTACCAGCGCACAGAGGTTCCCTCCAAACCGATGTATCTGCTGTTGCATTGAATCTCAGCCCCTCCGTTTTCTTCCTTCACATGAATCTCTTCAGGTGAGGTTTCCTCATTGCACACAAACAGCTCCTGTTTGTGCTGGCTGTACAGCGTCTGGTTCTTCCAGCATTCCACCCTATAAACCCCCGAGTCCTTGTGTGTGAGATGGCTGATCTGGAACCCGATCAGGTACTCTTCTTTATGTACGCGGATCCGACTCTGGAGGTCCGCGGGCGGTGTGATGGCCGTGTTGTTGGCCGCGGAGTTGCCAAGCAGCTGGTCTCCCTCTGGTGCACATCTGTAGACGACAATATAATCCACTCCAAAACAATTCCCCATGTCCATCGTGGTGCTCTCTGCTCCAAACACGGCCCCAGTCTCCTCACCGGAGACTCGGTGGAGGAGAAGGGGAAGAAGTAACTCAAGAAGCCTAATGGAGGTCATGTTGTCTGCCTGTGCCCACGTGTTTGTCACACTGCTGCAGTTGATACTTACTCTATCTGCTTTCGTTTGTCCCTGAGTCCTCCTCCTGCCACTGTTAGTTTCCTGGTCCCGACATTGGAACACACGCCCACACATACAAACATGCACACATTTCTACACACACACACATGCACATTACTGGTAATAATGGTGACTTCTTCAAGTATTTCAGTTGGAACTAGTGTAAGATAACCAATGAAGCTAAACAATAACACGGAACAAGTGCTGATATGTTCCTGGCTGCACATTAATATTAATTGTGTTGGCTGACAGGTTTTGTGGGCGCGGCCAGTTGTTATGCGTTTTTCAACAAGCATTTGCAAACGCAAAGTTCCTTTATCATTATGTTCTTATTCAGTGAGCACGCTTATCTAAAATAATCTGGCAGCGTGAAGTAATCGGTTGAGTTCTTTCTTTGACACTGTGAGGAAACACGAATGATTCACTTGGTCTTGTGCTGTTTATCAGGTGGAATGAGTTGCCATGGTTTCAAACGGGCAAAAGTTGATTATTGCGCAACATTGAACTCAAAGTACCCCCAAATCAAACAACATTTAAGAATCTAGTGCTAATGGCATCGCAATGTTGCACTTTGCTTCATTATGTGATTGTTACTGTAGAGGGTTACTTGTAAGTAGGTCATTTTAATAAATGAATACATCACCTCAAGTCAGATGATGACTTTGATCTTCTGTGAAGCAGCTGGACGCGGATGTTATGACTCACTGATTCACTCAATGAATAACTGTAGTAAAAGATAACTGTAAGACTTAAAAAGATGAGTGCATTCCTTACTAATTCAGGTTCATATACCACTAGAAAATCAAAATAGGTAAAATACAAAGTCAAATCTGTGGTACACAATGTAAAGCAGAATTTATTTTTGAACAGCGATTAACTGTGGCAATGACAAACAAGTTCTTTGTCTCTCTCTATCTAAGGCTGCATGCAGTTTACTCAACTATACTGTAACAAAGAACTATAGAACATTGTCTGGAAAAACCCCGACCTCTTGCATTGTTGTGAGGAAATGTCTGGCCAGTTCAGTTAAATAAATGAATGGGTGGTGTAGGATATTAGAAACAAATTGAAGATCCGGTTCATAAAATTAATAAAAATGCATATAGTGTACACCAGAATACAGCCATGATTCTGAAACTGTGTAATCCATAAAGTAATGACAATATTGTAAAACCACTGTAAATCTGCAACTGTAATAGAATAATATTGATGCAGTTATGATTGTATTTGATGTAATGTAATCAACTGGAATGCATGCATTTAATACTTGAACAACAACTGATATTGACGAAGGATCATCCGAAATCCGAGCTACATTGAACTCACCAGAAGACCACTCCCAGAGGTGTGGACACTGACTTTCACACCTTTAAGCATTGGTATAAATACCTGTAGCAACGATTGTTCTCGAGTTCACTGGTGGAGGCGACAGACGGGCACTAGGGATGGTCAAAAGGACTGACCTGGGGCCTGTTGGTCGCTGAGACCAGCGGCTCCTCAGCTGAGATGTTCTTTTTACCGCAACGCCATCTCCTTTATTAAATACATTTGATTTGAACCTTTCGATCAGCGATGACCTCTGTCCGTCCGGCGTTTCTTCATTTTTGAACACAACAGTGGATCCCCATTACTGAAGAAAGTATCTATAACAGTATTATACAATTAAAATAACAACATTACAATATTTCACTTGTGTTGCCCAATGGCAGTTTAGCCCCTTCCTTATTCGGTGTCTGTGTTGTTTAATCCAAAACATTGCATTTTGCACATTGCATCATTAATTTGAATGTTCTTAAACACAATTTGTCACAGTATGCGACAATATGTCTCAAGTCTAGACAAGTTACACTTCCTCCACCAGCTATGTTTATCAGAACTTGTCACAAGCATGAATGACACACTGCAGGGCCAACATGTTGTTTCATGCTCTCTTTTCACTATAAAGAAAGTCCATTCCAATGAATCAAATCTTTGTTTCTTCAGTGTTTGCGATGGTCAGACACAATGTATCTTGCTAATAATCAGTGCACTTTGATGACCAGCTCACCCGTGTCAACTTATCGGGTGATTTTAAAAAGCGAAAAACCACCTCTTTTTTCCTTTGAGGTGCATCATCTGTTTACTAGTAGCCGAGCTGACTACTCAGCAGCAGCAGCTTCCGTGCTACTGAGGGAACAGCTTGCAGAGCCGGTGATCATGATTAAGCACCAACAGCGAGAAAGCTCTCCGTGTGTTCAGTCCAATTCAGCCCTGTGCTGATTACACTCATCAGAGCCCCGTATGCTGCAGGGTTTGGAGGTGCACCAACTGCTGTTTGAGATACAGAGTTTTGCCAGAGTTATTTAATTACTGGACATATGGGCTGCAATAAAAGAGAAGACCGTTGAGCAGAGGAATGGAATAGGCCATTGGGAGCATAAAATCAATTTTTTTACACTCTGCATGATGCATTTTTTAAGCGATCTCATGTTGACATTTGAATGAATCAGGGCTCGCCCATGCTGCAGTACCAGGCACTGCCTGCGTGTGGCGTGGGCGGCGCAGTGGGTGCGCCCTACACCACACGCTCATAGTAGAAGAAGAAAAGTATTTCATAACAAAACGTCACATCTTCTGACCGCTGCTATAGGAAACTGTATGTATTATTAACTATTAGTTTTCTTACAAGCTAACAAACACAAACACGTCTGTCAACAGTTACCGATATTAACCACTGACCGGTCAAGTCCCAGCGTGCTCCACAGTACCCACGTCTCTTCCACTAGCTAGCGCTAGCTAATGCTAGCTGATGCTAGCTAACGAGCGAGCTGAACACCCAGCATGTATCAGTCAGGGAAGTACTGTGTCAACAAAGAAGCGCGCGGAATTAATGCATTTTATTTATCTGTGCAAAGGAAAGGATAATCTGAGTCGACCATAGAGCCTCTTTAGCTGTACTGACGTTAAATTAGGTTATTAGTCCTTTGAAGGTGTTACTGAGCTTACTGGTTGACTCATACTTTTTCCCATGAGAAACATCTGGCACCAGCTGGCCATCATCTTCTGTGTTATGACATTGTCGGAAATTGCATACAAAATAGACATGGTAGCCTCTGTGTCAAAGTATATTGCTCAGGAGTTTTATTGTTTTCTCGTTCAAAAAAGTATAGTGTAAATCCATTTGTCAGTATTCTGTCAATACCAATAGGAGAAGTTAAGATTAGTACCACAACTGTGTCTGTTGTATCTTGCTTTTCTTGTCTGTGTCTGTCTCCTAAAAGTCCCCCGGCCATGCATTAAGGACAGCAGGATATTGTTGTTCTGCTTGGTAGTTCTGTGGGAAAAGCGGAACAAAAATAATTACAGTCGCGATTGCCAGTCTCCTGTCTTTATGGATGCACATCTGGCCTTACCGACCATCCTCACAGCTGTTTCAGCTGTTTGATTGTTGCTACATTTGACAATCTTACTGAGCATCGCTGCACCTGCCACTTCAGAAGATGAAGCTGGCACTTTTACCAAGACGGTATGTTATATTTGTGCTTCGTTGTCACCCACTGCAGTTCCTTCTTCTCTCGCTCGTTTAGGTGATCCTCCTCCGGACTTTGCATCCATGTTGCGTTTGATTGCCAAGTCCCTTTGCCTCCGGTGCCAGTGTGCCACGGCTATACCTTTACACCTAAGACAGTGCTCGACACTGAGCTCAGCAGAGAACCAGCAGACCGTGGACGCTCTCTATGATCTCTCTGTGGACATCCAGAAGGTCCGTCAACTAAAGAGCTGGGTTCTGCATGAGTGCCCGGCCTACACCAAGCAGGTAGCTGACCTGCTGAAGGACATGGGAGCCTCGGGCTCCGTCGTTGCCCGTATCCTAGCAGGTCACCCTGAGGCTATCCTGTGTCATCCGGATCAGATGCGGTCTCAGAGGGAGCTGTGGATGTCTGTGTGCCCAAAAGAGAAAGAGCTGGTTGGTATAATTGAGAAATTCCCGGCCTCCTTCTTCACCTCTTCGAGCCACCACGACGACCAGCGGGACAACATCGCCTACTTTCAGAGCCTCAACCTCAACAATCGCATCATCACCAAGCTGATGGCCAGCGCTCCACAGAGCTTCAGTCGGCCGGTGGAGCAGAACGAGCTGATGGTGTGCACCCTGCAGCAGGCTTACCAAGACCTCGGGGGTGAGGAGGCCAACATGAAGGTCTGGCTTCAGAAGCTGCTGAGTCAGAACCCCTTTGTTCTCCTCAAACGGCCCGAGGTGCTGAGGCAGAACCTGCTGTTTCTGAGAGACAAGGGCTTCAGCCCGGCCGAGCTCCTGCGCCTCCTGTCCAAGCTCAGGGGCTTTGTCACCGAGCTGAACCCGGAGTGCATGAGCCGAACTCTAGCGTACTCCCAGGACACCATGGGCTGCTCCGAGAAAGAGCTGCGGGGAATCATCCTCAACTGCCCGGCGGTGCTTTACTACCCTGACGTTATACTAGCCGAGCGCTTCAAGGGCCTCCTCGGCGCTGGAATCAGCATGTCCCAAATCAAAGAGGCTCCGACCGTTTTGGAGCTGACGACGCAGATAGTGAATTATCGCATCCAGCGACTGAGGGTGTACGGTTATGACATAAGGACGGGTAGTCTTGAGGTCCTAAATGGCACTAAAAAGGAATTTGAGATGAGCTATGGAAAATTAATGTTACGTAGAGAAAGGCCAATTTTTAACCCCGTTGCCCCTTTAAAAGTAGATGACTGACCGAGGTTGTGTAGACTAATACAACAAATTAAGGCTGTTCAAATGTATTGAGTGTTGGGGGAAAATTGTTGAGCCTGCGTGGGGTGAGGCTCTCAGGAATGTGACCTTTGATGTGAGCCGGTGACTTAAGGCAGTCCAGGGTGAGATAAGACACAGATGGAACCATACGTGCCCTGACTGACCTTTTAGATGTTGTTGATTGACCGGGTCCCTTAAGGGAGGGTCACGGGGTCACCCCTACGTCGTCTGGTACTTTTCCCTAACACTCCTCCTTGAGGGGTGGGCTCTCCTGTGCTGAGGCAGCACAAACCTCCCTGAAGTGTATATAAGCTCCTGTTCTCCTCTTCAACTTCAGATCTTCCTGCTCCTTTTGGGGGAAGGAACATCTGTCCCTTTTCAGCTGAATTGTAGTCATTTGACTTCTGTCTGTGCTTACGACTTGTGTTGATGATTTCTGTATTCTTTATCATTTTTTCTATATTCTAGTTAGTAATAAATACTTATCACAAAGCAAGTTTAAGATACTTTGGATTTCTCACAAGGGATAAATCCACAAATTTCCACCACATTGAGGATTCTTTTTATATATACGAATATGTAATATATATATATATATATATATTTATATATATATATATATATATATATATATATTTATATATATATATATATATATATATATTTATATATATATATATATATATATTTATATATATATATATATATATATATATATATATATGTGTGTATGTATATATATATTATATATAAGTTAGTATTAGATTAGAGTGCCTCAGGTCCTACGGTGCACTTATTCCAAGCCTCCAATCTATAATCTTACTGCAAATGTAAATTTATATTGTATTGTATTGTATTACAGCGTGTTGTGTAACAGCTTACCAGAGTGATATTGGAAAATCAACAAATTAGTCTTTTTAGGGAGGAAGTTGTCCCTTGCCAAATAAATAATTTATTACATCTTTTTTATTATATATGTATCAATAAAACCCTGCATGACACGACGATAAAGGCAGACATGCTGGATGTTACTGAGTATGACAGGACAAACGCAGCTTTTCAAGGCATTTAATTTAAAGCCTGTGCAAGTGCTTCAGTTTCACACAATGGTCTTGGCAGCACTATTGTCATCCTCAGGGAGGAAATCTAACGGTGTCTCTGAGTTTTATTGTGACCTTACAGATGACAGGAGACTTTATTATACGGTAATTCACTTTTAGAATGTCATTTCAAATGAATTCAAATGCGCCCACACCGTGGAATAGAAAAGGAACACAATATATATTCAGAGAGCAGTTGAGTTTCAGTTCATTAAATCAAGATAGATTTTCCACTACGTTTGGTTTATTACGGTTTTCCCGTCTATGTGCGTCATGGTAAAGAGGCTGCTTTTGGGTTAATGCCCACATTTATTTTATTGTAGGCCACAAAATGAATATAAAATATTTCTGAGCATTGTCAAACCAAGAGATTGCACATTAAAATGCTCTTTGCCGTGTTTTAATGCGTCTTAATGTCTCAAAGCCGGCAGAAGCCCTCAAAACACGTGTAAGGGAGCCTTTAATGGGGGTGAGCTTCACAGCTAATGAAGCCATGACTTTATGCCTTAAGCTCCCCTCGCTCTCATAAAGTGGATGATGGGGGTCACAACAAAGAGCGCGGACTTGCATGTCTGGAGGCAGAGTGTGTGTGTGTGTGTGTGTGTGTGTGGGGAGGGGTATACGTGAAAAACCTTTCCACTGCCCATCTGCTGCAGCCCGCATAACTCGGCATGGCTCTGTAGTCATGGTGATAGCCACTGGGCAGATGATGCGAAGGTAAGTGCATCTGGAAATGGATTTGAGCTCAGCAGATGGATGTTGACTAGAGTTCACTTTTAAACAATTCACAAAGACAAAAGACCTCAGGGGGGCTGCAACATTACCTCAACTCCTCCGCAGCTGATGCGCCGAAGGATTCTTGTCTTGCACGTTTATGAGAGACATTCTCTTCAAAGCGGCGGGTTTTGTGGGTTTTTTTCGGTGGTGCAGAGCAGTTGCGTCCAAACGATCCGGATGTGTCGATGAGACGAGGCCTCGGGTGTCGAAACGCGAGTTACCTCTGTTACCTCCTCGCTGTCCTCCTGTCCTCTGGGACCGCGTCAACCTTTGCTGTGCCTTTTGAATTACACGGACAAGCCAGGGAGGTTAATTTGATTGAGTATAAATTGTCCCTTCTCATTTCGAATGTGACACCGGTAGATATTAGCCACGCTCAACAGATTGCTTTTATGGTTCATATCTCACATGATCCGATGGCATCTGCGGTTTAAAGATATGATTTCCAGCTGAAACCAGAGCTTGGTTGACCAACGTTGCAGTAAATATTCCTCATTTAAGGTCAGTGTGAGGTACGTTTTATTTATATATATATATATATATATATATATATATATATATATATATATATATATAAACTTTTTTTCTCTACAAAGGAAAACAAAGTTATAGACATTTAAATTCTCGTCTAACCGGCTGATACTGTTATTGCACTGGGGTTTCATCACTTGTAAACGCATTTGCATCATACATTCTGATTTGATTTCCCCCTACCTATGTGAGAAAGTTTGCTTTGTGTTATAACTTGTCAACAAGGAACTCCAACCTGCACCCAGACGAGACAATCCAAATACATCAACGGCCACAAGGTGAATAAATCTCACATTGATGGATATTCAATGCCCAAAAGGTAAATACCTTCCTATATTAACAACCATTAATTGGCTCATCTGTCAGCAGCAGTCATTTTGCTTGTGGTGAGGTGCAGTCTGTTGGGGTCATTTTAAATCACACACTCGTCCATAGACGCCTTATTTTATAATCCCATTGACCATTTAAGGCAGTATGAGATATCGTAGTATACATATGTATAAATAGTATAGTTTAGTGTGCCATACAAAATGATATGGATTTTATTGCATTTAATTATCTTTGCTATTATCTGTGGACAGACGGCTTTTCTCATGACATGTAAATGCTTTCTCTTTTTTTACATTGTTTGACATGCCATGCTATGACTTCTTTATGACAAGTTCAGACATGCTATAAAACGACTTTAATGTCAGTCTATATCGATTTATGATGTATGTAAGGAGCTGATTGATGGGCGGGTGAGCCTATATAGGGTAGGAACCTTTGGGGGCTCGGCAGGTGTTTCCAGCCGGAATAGCAAAACAGTTTTTGACCGCACGCTGGGTAGTATCATGTAACTCTCCGGGTGGATGTATGGTAAATGTGTGACAGTTGGAAAATAAATGGACTAAACACAAAGGCTACAAGGACTGTCATTCATCTGCGACGAACAGCGGCGGGTCAACTAGGGTTTCCGGACAAAATGCCTCAGTGGCTTAAAGTGTAGGCTTAGCCTCTCAGTGACGATCTGCCTTTTAATTACATACCATCCTGTGACGTTTTTATGACTTTTTAGAAATACTGTCATATATATACACACACAACATATTACGCTACTTTTTCTTGTGAATTCTTTTCAACTTAGCACCCTGCACCCATCAGCACAACCAACTCTTTCCACTTTGTTACAGTATTGGACTAATCTGAGCTCTGTATTTGACCCTTTTACCATTTTCAGCACTCACCTCTGTCTCCCTCTGAATTATGTTTTTTCTACCCGCAGTCATTATCAGAAATTTCCTTGCAGTTAATTCTGCAGCAGCTGGAGTTCTTAAAGATGCATAACAGACTCTTAATGGCCTTATTTGACAACTTTATTTTTCTGCCCGGTATCCTTATTGTCAATCACACTGTGAACTCTGACCTCTCCTCCTCCCAACCCTTGCGGTCCTGCAATTAAAACTTTTCTTCATATATCCTGTAATGATCTGCTGCCTCCTTTTCTCGACATGTTACAAAGACCAGTTGGATGTTTCCCCTCAAACATAGCGACATAACAAGGACCATAAATACCAAATAGACATACAGGGTGTGGAGGCCGTTATCGGTCACGACCTGCATAAACGTTGGCGTTCTTCTTCTTGTCGCATTGACATGCCTCCATCTAGTGGCAGAAAGGAACACACAACTCCAGTTGGGCAATTTTATTCAAAAGTTGAAAATAAAATTCGCAGGTCAATTGATACTCAATTAAAATGGAATTCCACTCATTCCAGTTGTAAAACCAAGGACAAGCTGTAAAATGTCTCGGTGTACATCGGAGTAACATCACAGTCATTGTAGAATCCGGGCAGACCAGTGGGATAATTCGCTCGTGGCTTTCTGAGCTGGCATCGGCCACGTTGGTTTGGAAAAGGACCAAAACTACCGAGCACAAGCTGTCGCCGACGCGTCCCGCCGACTGACTCACCGACCGGCATATTCTCCGTGCAGCTGCTGCGATTCTGAGGAGGACGAGCGCTGACGAGCCGACAACTGAGGGGGGAAGGAGATTTAAAACAACAAACAAAAAAAAAACAAAAAAAGAAGAGAAGCGGAGCAGATCGAAATGTCCTACCAAGCAGCGGTGACGGAAGGAAACTTTTTAAGTATCTCACGGATTACAAAGACTATAACAATCCTATTCACACTGGAATGCTCACAGACTATACGAGTGTACCTTTTCAAAATATAATACTGCGCGTTTTCGCAGCTTGTCTATCCAGGAGTTGATCCTGCAATACATATTGAGTGGTTTTCTGCCAGGGATTTTTTCGGTTAGTTTTTACACCGCATCACCGGTCTCTTTCTTGAATACTTGGAATTTGTATTTAATGCCGTTTTCTTCTTGGATTTCACTCGGCACGCCAGGAAATCTGGTTTGGAAACGAGACAAAAAACAACAAACGTCCATTAAAAAGTCCCCAAAAAATTAATAATTGCATGGATAAAACAATAATCAAACATAGATTAGCTTTCAGTGTGGAAGAAAACCGTCTCACATAAAACGTGCAAAGTACTTTTTCAATAAGAGTTGAATGACAAGAAAATACCAAAGAATTCAGCAAATTTTGTGTTTTGGAAGTATTAAAAGTATTTTAACCAAAACCTTCAGACGGGGCCTGACGTTTGATTTGTAAAAAGGGAGCAAAGCCTGACGTGTTTAAAATAACTTTGCATGTAAAAGGACAAGCTGCACCAACACACATACCCTTCCTGTACTTTGAAGAGTCCTCTGTCAAACTCGGGGAAGAAAACGTTGCAGTCAAAGTCCGCCATGACGTCCGTCAGGTAAACCAAGTCACACCACGGGTGCTTCAGCGCAACCTGATCAGCAACACGAAGCAACGAAGGCTCTGGTCACATTCACGCTATTCACGTTGATGTGAGACATGAGGGATTTTTCCTCTAATCTAAGATCACACAACACAACTTTGCGGCTGCGCTTGGCAATAAAATAATTCCATCTGGGCAGACCGGTTCAGCCGGGAATGCTGGTAAAACGTGCGTCACGGGGAGTTTAACGCTCAGGCTGCTTCACCTCATAGACCTGCGTCCCTCCGACGACCCAGATGGTCTCAATCAAGTCGGCGAGGGGGGGCTGCACAGCCAGACGGGCAGCGGCGTCCAAGTCCTCGCACAAGAAATGGGCGTGATCTGGAACTGACCTGTGAGAGGAGACGAAAAAAAAAAATATATGAAAAAGATTTGTTCAGGATGACCCGAAATATGGCTTTCCGCCCTTGTTGGCGCAGGCGAGAGAGCACTCACTCCAGTGTTTTGCTCAGCACCACGTGCAGGACATTGGGCAGTGGGAAATCAGGTTTTGGGACGGAGTACCAGCACAGTTTTCCCCAAACCATCATGTTCATCTTCCCTGAAATAGAAAACAATGAGATGTTTAAAACGTAAGTCCGACCGGTTGCAGCTCTCAAGTCTCTTTGTGTGGCACGAAGCACATGAACTGGGCTGGATATGGATAATAGCAATGAATGGTAACACTATTTAGATGTAATACATTTGGAATAATAACTAGTTTCAATGTAATCCAGATTACATTTAATATGATGTGATAATGATGTTGAGTAGTACCTGGTCTCGACACCCCCTGAACATGGTTCCTAAAGTACCGGAATTCAGATCTGCAACAGTCACATTTTCAATATCATTATTTTGTTTCCCCCACAATATCAAATCAGACAGAACAACAAGTCAGATCTGTTGCAAAGTACATTAACTCAGTGTTCTGCTTTCCACAGAGAACAAAACGATGGATCGAAGTTCCATAATAAACCAAAAAACAGGCTCCACATAGGAAACCTCAATTATAACAACTTAATTTGAAACTTGTCAGATAAAAATACCCAGTAAATCAGTATCTCCTCTGGTCAATTACAATTCATTGTAGCATATAATTTTAGGTAGCCTTATTACTCACATCACTGGTATGCATTTATGAACTAACCATATTTAAATCACTGAAAACTGGGCAGTGACAACTATCATTAGCAACCTCGATGCTAAATACCTTCAAAACCATATGTCTGCAGAGAATGCAAGCTAATGGCTAAACAGCAACAGCCCCACGGGGTCTGACTCCAGCACGCAAAGAGGCTTCACTCTTACGGGAGGTCCCAGGGCATTTGTCCGTCCTTCCCGATGCCCCCTCCGCTGCAGGCCGCCGCTATGAGGCGGACCGGCTTCTTCTGCACGTTGTCCCCGCTCATTGTTGTCTTTCTCGCTCTCGCTCTCCCCGACGTGCGGTCAAAAAAAAAGCAGGGAAACAAGCTCCTGCAACGTGCACTTCTTTCCCCGGAGCCGAGCACGCTTTATAGCGACTCGATCCGAGGGAATCGCCGCCCCCCAACCGCCCCCCGGACGGGGCGGAGATCCGGGCTGACGTCGACCGTGCGGCGTGACCCGCTCACGAGGTCACACACCTCGTTGAATGCGGGGAAAGACAAACCGTTTTCAGCAGTTTTGTTGCTAGATTTGGAAACTTTTCAGATTACCCTGGCAACTTTTTAGCAACTTTTGCGAGGCATTTTCCTTCCTGCGTGACACAGAAACAGTATTTTTTCCTGGTGAGTGACGACCAGCCGGTCCGTGTACCACACGTCATTGTTGTGTCCAAGGTACAAGGTGAAGGTGCTTGTTCAATAAAATAGCATATGTACGCCTTATTATTATACTATACTTGTACATCTAATTATTAATTACCAATAGAAGGCTTAAAACCATAATTATTCAGAATGTCTCGGTTTAAAGAAATGTTTCAATAATTCAATATGTTGTATTTAAAAATGTCTGATCATAAAACATGTGCTGCGTTTATATTATTTTAACAAATAAATCTAAACTAACATGTCAAATCATACTTTTTTGAGTGACGTTCTTTTGTATTTTACGAACCAACGCTCATTACTTAATGACGTCATCGCGCCTTGGCATCACAACGTCATTTAGCTTTTAGCAACAAATCCAATATGGCGCCTTTCACGTTTTCCACTGGGGCTCCAGAGGGCTCTTCACCAGCTTCTCTCTCTCCAAGAAGATACTTTATTATGTTTACCCACCATCACTTTGTCTTATGTCTCCACTGGAAGTGGATCCTAGAAGGCACTTTATTATCTTTGATCAGTAGGCACATCCACAAAGGCACTTCTTTATGTCTTATGAGGAAGTCATTGGATTTTCTGCAATGAAAATGCCCCCCTTACCAACTCAGAGTGCACCAGTGCACATAGCTTAGGCTAATTTAAATGTTTATAATTATCAAAAATATCTGAAAAAATAGCATGTGCAGCACATTATCTAAGTATACGTGTGCATAAAAAAGATCAAAAGAATTCAACATTAGTCATTTTTTTGCCATTTCAATAGTTAAATTTGGTCAGTCTTTATACAAAAACTAATGATTTACAATCACCTGGGAGACTAAAGCACACACATTCACGTTTTGGTTAAATATATACAAAAGTAGTTAAGAAAGCACAAAACCGAAAGCACAAAACCAAATATACAAAAGTTATTTACAAAATATATAATGAAAGGCCTGGTGAAACTCTCAACCTAATATTCCCTACTACTGTACATCAGGCTTTTGTGTCCTAAATAGAAAGAAAAAAAACCCACACACTATGCAGATCCATGACGGTGTCGGATAATTTTCTGTTTATGAAATATTTAGGGAGTTGTTTTTAGCAAAGTAAACCACCGTGCGTTATTTCATTCATAACACACATGAGTCACACACAAGAAATCTCCCATATTCTTCAAACTGTGTTGCTGGGTCCCAAAACTCAGGATGGGACAATTAATGAGAAGTGATGCTCAGACACACGTTCAGCTGATCTGCTGAATTACACTTTCACCCCAACGGCAAACTGACATAGGGTGTTGATGGGGGAGAAGAAACGCATTGCGGATGATGACAAGTCGTTTTATGGAAGACCATAGGTTACCTCAAAAGTCCAACTCTCTCTCTTGAATGTCAGCATTGTCGCTGAATTCCCCCCGTGGTTCATGAGATGTGTGGTACGTATCATCTGGAGACCAAGACATGTTATGGATTTATGGATCTAGCTATAGTTGTTAGTCACAGTTACTGCTGTTGTCAGCTGAGGGCACTTCAAGAGAAGAGGAAATCCAGATGACTGAGGGACCCTTTGTATTCTTCTGTTTTCACACTAGTTGCTCTGCCTCCAGGATTTAGTGCTGCTTCTGAGGGAAATGTCTTCTTCACGCCGGCGCTTCTGTGTGGAATTTCCCTTTTCTGCATTAAAACAGGAAACACCAATGTCAATAAATTATAAGTTATATTTAACGGTGAAGTTAATCTACCTGCCTGTAGGTATGCGTGCATATACAGTGCATCCGGATACAGCGCTTCACTTTTTCCACATTTTGTTATGTTACAGCCTTATTCCAAAATGGATTAAATTCATTATTTTCCTCAACATTCTACACACAACAACCCATAATGACAAAGTGAAAACTGTTTTTTGCAAATATTTGCAAATCTGTTAAAAATAAAGAACAAAAACATAACATATACATAAGTATTCACAGCCGTTGCTCAATACTGAAGCACCTTTGGCAGCAATTACAGCCTCAAGTCTTCTTGGGTATGATTCCACAAGCGTGGCACACCTATTTCTGGGCAGTTTCTCCCATTCTTCTTTGCAGAACCTCTCAAGTTCCATCAGGTTGGATGGGGAGCGTCGATGCACAGCCATTTTCAGATCTCTCCAGAGATGTTCAATCGGGTTCAAGTTAGGGCTCTGGCTGGGCCACTCAAGGACATTCACAGAGTTGCCCCGAAGCCACCCCTTTGTTATCTTTGCTGCGCGCTTCGGGTCGTTGTCCTGTTGGAAGATGAAACGTCGCCCCAGTCTGAGGTCCAGAGCGCTTTGGAGCATGTTTTCATCAAGGATGTCTCTGTACATTGCTGCATTCATCCTTCCCTCAATCCCGACGAGTCTCCCAGTTCCTCCTGCTGAAAAACATCCCCACAGCATGATGCTGCCACCACCATGCTTCACTGTAGGGATGGTATTGGCCAGGTGATGAGCAGTGCCTGGTTTCCTCCAGACATGACGCTTGGCATTCAGGCCAAAGAGTTCAATCTTTGTTTCATCAGACCAGAGAATTTTGTTTCTCATGGTCTGAGAGTCATTCAGGTGCTTTTTTGCAAACTCCAGGCGGGCTGTCATGTGCTTTTTACTGAGGAGTGGCTTCCCTCTGGCCACTCTACCAAACAGGCCTGATTTGTGGAGTGCTGCAGAGATGGTTGTCCTTCTGGAAGGTTCTCCTCTCTTCATAGAACAACGCTGGAGCTCTGTCAGAGTGACCATCGGGTTCCTGGTCACCTCCCTGACTAAGGCCCTTCTTCCCTGATCGCTCAGTCTGGCTGGGCGGCCAACTCTAGGAAGAGTCCTGGTGGTTCCAAACTTCTTCCATCTCTGGATGATGGAGGCCCCTGTGCTCATTGGGACTTTCAATGCTGCAGAAATCTTTCTGTACCCTTCGCCAGATCTGTGCCTCGATACAATTCTGTCTCTGAGGTCTACAGATAATTCCTTGGACTGGCTTGGTTTATGCTCTGATATGTCAACTGTGATACCTTATATCGACAGGTGTGTGCCTTTCTCAATCATGTCCAATCCACTGAATTCAGCACGGGTGGACTCCATTCAAGTTGTAGAAACATCTCAAGGATGATCAGTGGAAACAGGATGCACCTCAGCTAAATTTTGAGTGTCATGGCAAAGGCTGTGAATACTTATGTACATGTTATGTTTTCATTCTTTATTTTTAACAGATTTGCAAAAAATTTGCAAAAAACAGTTTTCACTTTGTCATTATGGGTTGTTGTGTGTAGAATGTTGAGGAAAATAATGAATTTAATCCATTTTGGAATAAGGCTGTAACATAACAAAATGTGGAAAAAGTGAAGCGCTGTGAATACTTTCCGGATGCACTGTACATGGAATTTAACACATTTTCCGCATCTATTAAAGGAATAGACAGTTGTGCTTTGTACACGAGTAGTTTCATGGGATCTGTAAGTTGTAAACAAAAATGAAATAGATAAACCCTGAATGTATTACATGGACTGGTTGATGTTGTGCAGTATGTACTTGTAAAGATGTCTGTAATCATGTCAGGCTTGTTTTGGGAGAACGGCCGTAGTTGAGTTATGACAGTCATGTTGTCTGTTACCAAATCTTGCAGACCTAGGGCAGCAGATATTTGATTGCACGCTGCCAGCCGGCCCAAGTTTAACTTATATCAATTTTATGTTTTTAGCCTTTGCTCTAATGACTTTGCTTAACATTTAAAAGTCTCGCGCAATTCTTAATGTATGTATTAACAACTCAAGAAATTATCTCAACCAAAGTCAACCATCCAACCTGCATACCTGTTGGAAATGATGCTGTATATGTGGAGAGGCCTTCAGAGGAGCCTCCCGGACCACGACTGGTCCCCGAATTGAGAACCCCGTCATTTGCAACACTGTTGGGATTGGCAGGAACTGCTGCCAGCAGGCCTGCAAGGCGAGCAAAGCATTGGAATCCGGGTCAACACCAGACAACACTTGCATTGTAGCAGTTGGCTCTATATTTCTGCACTGATGAAAGCATTTCAAACATTACTGGGGTTTTATCTGCAAAGTGCCCCTTATTGATTACGCAGCACCAGCATTTATCTAGCTCCGCTTTATTCTAATGCAACCTTGCGTAATTTGCATTTATAAAAAAGGTTGTGCGTATGTGGTTCATGTCCCTACCCAGTCCTCTGTAGCTGGAAAGCTGCTGGTAAATTTGCTTCATGCGCTCTATGTTGACGCGGCTGGACTCGGCGTGGTTCACCATAGGCCTCGGGTAGTGGACTCCCACGATGCACTTGGCTGCCTTCTGCACTTCCTCCGGGGCATTCCAAGGATCATAGATGTATTTGGCTGGAAAGCCTCTCAACACGGGCAAATAACGCCTGGAAGCAGAGAAAGACGGCGGGTTCGGAGGATGAACGATTTGTGGAGCATGATATAAGGCGGAGTAAAATATCGCGCCGCACTACATATCAGTGCGTGTTGTTACATAATTGCCATGATAGATAAGTACTAACACGAGTAAAATGGACTGTGAAAGCTCATTCTTTGCCATATCGGCATTAAATGCACTAAATTAGCTCACACAATTTGCCTCATTGTTCAATCAATTTCTACACATGACTGTATTGTGACAAACCGTGGCAAATCATTCCCCCATGTGAGGCAACGGATGACCACAATCCAACAACGAGATGTTATTTTCCCATTTGAAATGAGCGAAGGAGCACAAATCATCATCATCATCATCATGAGCTTTTGAAATCACGGGGCTGCAGATGGAGGTACCGACTGACCGTATGAAGTCCCCGTTGGGGTCCGTGCGCCTTCCAAATCCCACTGGGCAGTAGCAGTGGAAGAACTGCTGGAAAAATGAACTGCACGAAAGCCACATCCAGCTGCCGGCATTCACGCTCCAGTCCGCATCTATGAGCAGCTCTTCAAACACCTGTACGAGACACAGTGCAATGCATGTGATGTCAATCACAGAAAGAAACCGCAGGACGGCCGCAGCCAGGCACCTTCGTTTATATTCGGGATACTAAATCTCCGTTCTCACCTTCATGCCTTCTTCCCAGCTGACCCAGAGGTCTCCCCTGGTGAGGAAGCAGGCCACGGCGTGCCTCGCCAAGTGATGGATCCAGCCCTCCTGCCTCAGCTGGGTCATAATGGCGTCGATCCAGGGAAAGCCCGTCCGCCCCTCCGCCCACTTGGCCAGCGCCTCTGGGTTTCGGTCCCAGGGGATCTGCACGCAGACGGGGTTTCCCTCCATCTTGTCAAAGCAGGGGTTGTTGGTGGCCGTCGTGTAGAAGAACTCCCTCCACAACAGCTGGCCGTACAGGGAAAGCGGCGGGGTGCTGTTCTTCTTGACCTGATGGGGCACACAATATCACTTTAAATTAAAACAGAAGGCAGGTAGAAAAGCTGTATTTAATTATGATTTTAAGATGAAGGCGGCGAGTATTGCCTCGGCTCACGCGTCTCACAACATAAATCTGTGAGTGAAAGCAAATTATGATACACGTCAGCTGTCTTTTTCCAAATACGAATGGCCTCTGTTATTTCTTGTCTGGTATTTGGTCATTCATACCTTTCTGTAAAGATCGGTGAGCTTGAAGTAGAAGAGCCGACAAGAGAGACAACCAAAGCGCAGGTAGGGGCTGAGGCCGGTGGGACTGGCCAGCAGGGAGTTGGCGTTCATTCGCGGCCTCTCAAAGTTTGCCACCCACGCCTGGGGGAAAAAAAACAACATTGATCAAAACAATCCCACTGTGATTGGCGAAAGAAAATAATAAAGTCTCAGCACTTAAAACCTGAGGTTTGAAAAGAGGTCAAAGAGGCGATAGATGGCGCTATAGGATATAAATCTATTTATTTACCACATATGGGCTGCTTTTTACCATTTTTGTTCAGTTTGGATTCCTCTGCCTCTCCTATAGATCTGGCTAGAGGTCAACTGATACTTTTCAGCCGCCACCATCTATCGTCAAAAGACGTATATCTCATGCAACATCCTCTACTGTCCTCATCTTCTCAACTCGTGTTGTCATTGGTTACCACATTGTGTTTGATTACCATGGAGCTTTACCGGTGTCTTTTCTATCTATGTGCATGAAATGAAACTTGAGCCAAGTAAGCAATCAACCAATCCAAAGGGAATCACACCGATATTCCTTATTGTTACCTTTCTCTCCAGGTGTCGCTCTAGCCTCATGAGGGCTTCTGTTTCTCCACCCGGCCATACAGCGGTGGTCAGGCCTTCTGTCTCAAAACCTGAAAAGCAACAACAATTCAAATATATTCCCCAAACTTCTTCAAAGCCATAAAAATAAACATTCAAGTAAGACACTAACCAAGCTCTTCCAGGGAGGGCACCGCAAACTTGTCATCGTGATCTTTGCTGAGTGGTGTGGCACATCTTTGGACGACCTCGGCTGTGATGGTCTCTGCAGGCAGCTCCACGGCGTCCATGCGGTTGACGAGCGTCTGGAAGCGCTTGTACGTGAGCGGAGACTGACCGTCGTTGAGCTCTATGATCCTTCGGGGGAAAGAGGAATTGAAGAGAAATAAACATAAGTCTTCTACTTCTACTATGGGACTTGTGTTTTACCTGAAACGATGAAGTCACTCACCTGTCCAGATTGTAGAGGGTGTGAGCAGTCCGCACCATGACCTCCACCCCGGCCTCGCTGGCTAGTTTCTGGATGGCAGCATCGCGTTCCTTGCCAAACGGCTCAGAGTCGTACTCGTAAGATAGACGAGTAGTCTGCCACTCCTGAGAGACAGCAATAGATATCATTTATTGTTTTAATCTGCAAGGAAATTGATGGGACTTCTAAGCAATTAGCGAAGTTCCTTGTCAACGTCACCTATTGTTTATTAAGTCACCGTTACACGAGCTGTAACATTATAAGAAGTATAATCTTATGAGTGTAAGAATGCATCTTCTACTCTACTTCATCGATGCTACCTTAAAAATCCGAGGGAAGACGTCTGTAGGCTGGCCTCTGATGACGAACAAGCGGGAGTTGAGTTTGCGCAGGCTGGCATCCAAGTCCTCTAAGCACTGCAACAAAAATCTCAGAGCCCACAAGATCGTTGATTAATGGCTTATAAACCAAGAGGGTTACAAGGTGAATGTGTTCTCATTGATCAACTAGATTCACTATTTAGCAAGATAATAAAGGTAAAATCTAGGGGTTTAAATGCACAAATTACCTCGCAAAGTGGAAATTAAAATTTAGACCATCAGTGATATTTACAAAATCAAGGCCACAGAACCGAAATCTCTCATCAATGAAGAGAGTGCATGAAAATCCGTTGTTTTAATGTGAACAGGCGGCGCCTCTTCTGGTGGAGAATTTCTACACGCACAGTCGAGCCTACACAGCTCTTGCATGAGAGCATCAGCAGGCGGACTGCTGCACTCGACACAGCGGTGAGTGTGTGTCGAGTGAGTTGTCAGTAACTGTGGTAAAAGGTGGTGTTTCCCTGCACCAACCAGAAAACCTCTCATTTCACATTTCAGCAGGAGGTGACAGTCACTACAGCGAGGCCCAGGAGCACTGGACATTCATTTGGTTTATTTATTCCTGAAGCAAACTTCTGAAATTTGAAGTCCTTGTTAACTCAAGACGTGTGGTGATGCTGTAAACAATATCATCTTTTTTTGGAAAATAACCTCTTACTTTGTTAACATGTAAACAGAGTCATTAAATTCTGTGTAATCCTGCATGGAATCTCGCCTGACTGTCTTCTTCTGTACTGGGTTGTTATTTTAAAAATGACATAATATGCATTTCAGTTGATATCATTGATGGAGAAACTAAGCATATATTCCGAAAAACAGTAAACAACAAAAAGCTTTAAATGTGCCGACGGTAATGTGGTTTATTATTATTATTATGCTCGTATTGAAGTGGGAGGAGTCTGCTATAGGTGATGACGTAATCATCATAACAACCCACTGACCCAATTCCTTGTCCCTTCGTTTCGGGCTGAGCCTCGGGTTAGTTGCTTATACCTTTTACACACCTTTTCGTCACACTTTATAAATGATTTAAAATGATGGGACACAGTCCACTGAATTCAGATTTAACTCCACATGCGCACGTGAGGTCGGTGATGAAATGTCATTTCCCCCCCCGCCTTATTACCTCCACCTGTTGATGCCCACGTTGGAGGAGCCCGCAAACCAGGGGTCCAGGATGTACACGCAGCGCAGGGAGTCCGCGTCCCGGATGGAGTCCCTTAGAGACGGGTTGTCGTGCAGCCGCAGTCCCTTCCTGAACCAGTGGATGGTGTTGACCACCATGTTCCTCTTTTTATTCCAGGTGAGGTTAGAAAGATGGTAGGAGGGCGAGCGGTTTTATTTTGGGGTAGGTGTCGCACGAGCGAGGGTGAAGCCCCGCGAGCTCGAAAAAAAAACAACAACCAGAAGACGCTGAAATTCCCCCAGTTCGTCTACGCGCGTAACGTTGGTCCGCACAAAGGTCCCGCACATCCGAGTCCACTACGACGTTGACAACATGGTAACGCCGGGTTGACGCGTCTGACACCGATAACGTCCTTCCAGTGTCTCCGCCGGTGTGGTCACGAGGGGGGCAACGAACGGAGCGCTCTGATTGGTCAGAATCCACCGTTACGCAACGCGTTATCCGTCACGTGTACATAACGTGCTTTCCTCCTCCTGTTATCAATATTATGAATTGTATCTTTCTGTCATATGCTGTGAAAGTTTTCGCAACATAAAAGAAAGACGACCCCTAAAGTATCTGATAAGGCAGCAAATCGGAGTTTTGGGGGTCAAGTTACATGTGGGTTACGTGGTGAAACAAGAAGTACCCGGATGAGCACATGCCGAGAAGGCGGGCCTTGCTCGAGATAGGTGTGCTCGATTTAGCTCACGGATCCCACCGCTAACACTGCGTTAATGCGGTTGGTCGAGAATAGGCAACCCTAAAGGACGATGTTTTATGACTCGCATCCACACTTTTCCTAAAAAGTGATGTGTCTATCAGCTGTTCAGCCACGGAGATACAGTTGGATTCACCCTGAAGCAGGATATATAAGCATATGCTTCACCGGTACCTCCTGTGCTTTAGCACATATCTACCTGTGCAGGCTTTTTACTTGCACAGAGCACACACCTGATCAATTATATGTATCACCTATTGGCTTGAAACAAACCACTTAGGGACGCAGGAACCAAGCGTAACGGTAAACATCAAAGCTTTATAGCACGTTGGTTACTTTTTAGTAAACTTGAATTACTTGCTTAATTGCATGCAGTATTGCAAGTGGACACTAGATGGCAGTCTTAAACGGAACTGGATTGAAAGATCATGGAATCCCTTACATCATTTGACTCTTTTTTTAAATTAAATAAACGTTTCAATCATTCCTGTTACCTCGATTGCAGCAGCAGTTTAGAGAAGTCACTGCTTTGGCCAATGACTGATGACACAAAAAGTAGGTTGCAGCCTGTCCAGCCTGTGTTCAGTCAATGCCTCGAGGTGTTTGCTGTGTAAGATAGTGTATGACGTGTTAAGCGATGTAGAAATGCATTGCTTGTAGTTTGTAGGTAATAGGAAACAACACTAAGAGTCTACAAGCATGCCATCCACTCAGAACGGCTGAACACCAGCTCTTTGACCTAAATGTTAATGTCAGCATGCTTACTATGCTGACGTTTGATGGGTAGCCTAACAAGTTGACACAATTTGCCGTGAACACAAAGTGTAGACTTTAAGTACAGAGTTTTAAAATCTCCTTTTTTTTAATTGCCCCATTCCAAATTGGGCGTTGTCTTACTTGATGATCTCTCTAAATGAATTGATTGAAGCTTATATAGGCTGGAAGGGCTAGTTTAAAGAAAACGTATAAATAAAGACCTTCAAGGTCAGTTTTATAACCCAATATTGTTTTACTTTCATTTGACAAGAATTGATTTACCAAAATTATTTGGTTCCTTACATCGAAAAGAGAGCTGCCATGTCAGTGTATGAGGTGACTTAAATGAATATAATTAGAACAAATCAATCTCATTGATGTATTTTCTTCTGAGGAAGCTTGTGCGACCCTCATAGTCTGTATGTAATAATATCTTCATTAATTGCATGCGTCACATGCTTGTAATTATCTACCCTGAAAGACCAGTGAAGAATATATACTTTCAACAATCCATTTCACAGAAATGTGGAGCCTTTTGCCTTGATAAATAAGCTGAAGTTTGACTGTACAACAGCAGGGTTCACTGTTGCTCCAGAGACGTCCAGTTTACTGTCAAATACAGAAGCTTAATTCTCACTGCATCTCAGATAGATGAGCAATCTCCAGTCCATCGTATAAATTATGAGATTTTTCCACCTCCTAGTCAATTCACAGTTATTTGGTAGCATTGCTGTTCACAGGCTTACAGTATGACCACAGTTTTTTGCTGTGCAATACATTTAAACCAACTACATCGCTACCCTTTTTAGCTTTTGAATTACTCTGGCATTTGCATTCACCATTCTTTCAGCTTCCTGCAGATTTTCCCAAATCCATGGGTTTTCCTTGGAAAAAACAAAATAGCTGTTCGTCCATCCCAGCGAATGACCTTGAAAGTATTTCAGATCTTTTCAATGAGTTTTCTTCCAGAGCATTCGAGAAGGATATATTATGCATGCAATCTATTATTAATGGTATTGAGTCGTGTTACGATCAGACATGGAACCTCAGAAAACATTTGGAGACCCTGATCCCTATGGAGGCCTTGTCCCTTAAACATGATCGTATAACAGCAGCTACTTCTACTGTACATTATGTGGTGTATTATTTACCGCAGTTTCTATCTTTTGAATTCTACTCTGACATAAGATTTCTGCACTTAGAAATCCTAAGTCCTAAGAAACACCCCTGAAGCTAGTAGCATCAACATTAAGCTCAGTGTTTACATCGTTTAAGACAAATATATTAATAAGACGCATGATGCGCTACATCACCGACTTTTTGGATCATCTGAAGCGATCCAATTGAAACCCTTTGCTCCGTCATCCCGAGAGCCCATTGGCTGAGAGCTGTTCTCGGGTCTCCATGGCCCCGCCCCCATCTGTCAGGCACTGCGTACAGCTCCTTGCGACTGTCGATGTGCTGTAGTGAGCTACTACTCCACAACTTTATACGTGAAGCCTTGGGTGGACTTTTACTTAAAAAAAACAAAAAAACACCACACACACACAATTGTATTGGTTAGAGGAGCTCGTGCAAGACGCGCACGTGTCCAAACTCCTCCACCGCATTTTCCTCCACTTCCCCGAGCCCTCTTTTGCAGTATGAAGTGCAGTTATGGCGAGGAGTAGCAAGTCAGCGGCGAGGACCCTGGAGGATTTGACGCTCGACTCGGGTTATGGTGGAACCGCCGACTCCTTCAGGTCTTCCAGTGCGTCGCTGTGCTGCTCGGAGGCGCATGGGGGGAATCACTGGCATTTAACCGGATCCATGCACAGTCGACACAACAGCCTGGACACCGTTAACACTGTCCTGGTCGAAGACGCCGAGATCCTGGAGAGCACCGGGCAGTGCGCTAAACTACCCGAGCTTGAGGATGTGCCGTGGAGCCTCGGGGAAGTGGCGAGCGCGCTGTGCCGGGACGAGGAGATGACCCTGCCGCCTCCCCCGCAGGACGTCCTGCTCCGGCTCTCGGTGCTGGTCAGCCGGGTCCTGGTGAGGGTGGCGAAGGAGTCGCAGCGCCTGAGTTTGCGCTACGCCAAGTGCACCAAATATGAGGTCCAAAGTGCCACAAAGATCGTGCTGTCGTGGAGCGTGTCGATGAGCTGCGTCGGCGCGGCCCTGAGTGCCTTGTCCCTGTACAACATGAGCACGGAGGAGGACAAGTTCAGCCGCGGCAAGTCGGCGCGCTGCGGAGTCACCTTCAACGTGGGGAAGTTCTTCAGGTGGATGGTCGACAGCAGGGTCGCGGTCAGGATCCACGAGCACGCGGCCATCTACCTGGCCGCGTGCATGGAGAGCCTCTTCCGCGAGGTGTACGCGCGTGCGCTGCGCAGCGCGCTGCTGGAGCGGGATAACGGAATCCCCAAGTTCACCGTGGAGACCCTGGAGCAGGCTGTCAACGCCGACGCAGAGATATGGGGGTCTGTGCAGGTCTGGCAACACCTGATATGTGGGAAGAATGCAAGCGGTGAGTTGTGAGCACTGTAGGTCCAGGATTCCCTCTCCGCCCCGTGGCCACTCACCGTTTGATGCGTAATGGCACAATGTCACTTTGGCCTCTTGTCTCTCACAGTTTGTATTTACATCCGTATAACATGTAAAGTGTTCTTCCTTCCAAACAGCCACATATAAATGTAACACACGTAGCTGATAATGATCCAAGAGAAAAATACCCCTCCCTTAGAATTAGTTTGCTGCCACATCTCTGATATGGAAATCTCTCAATCTCTGGATGAACGTGAACTCAAACCCATTTCTGTATAGTGCGTCCTTCTAAGAACGAGCTCAGAAGGTATAGTTCCGTCTTCTAAGAGTGAGCTGCAAGCAGAGGATGGCTGACTCAGTATATGAGGGTGGGAGAGAGTGGTCCTCTTAAGGCCAGCTCGCCTCCTCCATCTTCTGTGCAGTGTTACACTGCAAAGGTTATTTTATTATATCCTGCTGCAACTGTATGTGGCTGTTTTGTTAATGCACAAAAAAAACCAGGCCCTGATATCTGCAGGCTTAATGCCTCTCTTTGAGAGCTCTCAGTGAAAGGGGCTCTTCCTGTTGGTTTTCACAATAATGCCCTGCAGAGGTGAGTTTTATTCCCCCCCCCCCCCCCCCACACACACACACACAGACGATGGAGACCTTTCACTCCGGCGTGCATCTTCTGATTACCGATGCACACAATGCCTCGCCCGTAGTTGTCCCATCAGCTTTTTACGTCTTTAGAAATACTTACTGCTCGGAAAACGAGTGTAATTGTATTTGGACCTCATTGCCGCTCAAACAGCGATACATCACAAACCACTCCTAACGCGCTTGCCCGTTTTGATGGATGTTGTGAAAATGCTGCTGTGGCTCCTCTTGCAACAGGTTTACGTAATGAAAGGCCTTGGGGGACCTGTGCGCTATTGTGCATTATGCAGAGTGATGTGAATAAAACTGAGTTATGGAGTGAGGGAGAGAAAGAGAGACGGACAGGCACAGAGAGAAACTCGGGGAGACTGTGACTGTATTGATGAATCACCAACAGAAGCCTGGCATCATGAGCACTGCACTTTACTTCATTGTACCTCTTGCTTTTAAAGGCACAGCGAAACATTTTTTTCAAACATGTATGTCAGCTCGTTTATCCGTTCTGTGCCTGTTTGTGTACAATAGCCCACCATTCTAATGCGTCAGTGACACAGTCACAAAGAGTCTGCCCGAATAACCTCAGAGTTTTAAAGTATATGAGTGCGTACTGTACAGATACAGAATGTCGATATTCCCGTCGCACACTCTGACCACTTGGCATGCAGCGAGGCACCAGCAGCAGGAGAGATGTGTGGTGTTCGGAGGTGCACTGGACCGGTGAATAGGATGAGATGCGAGAGAAAAAAAACATCATGTGAAGCGTGTGGAATGTGGATGTTTCTGGCCAAGGCTTTACAAAGCACGGTAGAGTTCACAAGGTAATAATAATTAGCAGGGGAAATGGACTGGAAAGCAGCTTGAATCTATATCGTTTTAATATGGGTACATTACATGACCACGCGAGAAAGGAGATGTTTGGTCTTAATGAACCGGTTCTGGTTATACCCTGGACACTTGGTTGGCTTTGGGTCACGTGACTGTACGTTACCTGCCCAGTGTCAAACTCCAGTGACCAGGTGATGAAGCTAACGCCCTTAGCTTCATCACCTTGAAAGACAATATTATGTCAACGCAGCTCTTTGTCTCCATTGAGTATTTTGACAGATTTCAAGATACCTGCCATATAGTCACAGAGGACATATACATGTGCATGTGTACAGTGTCTGATGTGTTTTACCCATCGACTTAAAGAGTGATTCAAATATTTATATTTTATTCACTTCTTTCTGTGTTATTACAGGCTTAGTGCAAATGGTTTACACTCCGAGGAAGACTGTTTAAGTTCATACAGGAAGTTCCATTTAGTGACAGTTTTTCATCGCATTTCTCATTGTGACACTACAGGACCTCTAAACCTCAAGATAGCCGCTATCTACTGTGACAGATAAGCCACCATTCAATCAACGGGAGGGTTGTCTTTAACAAAGCCGCTGTCTGCCAGATGAAACACCCACATCCCTCTATCAATTCTCTCAGTCTCTTTCCACCAAGAGGGAGCAATTTAGCTTATTCTTTCATTTTATGCTAACGTTGGTGACCCCTTGTCAAGGGGCCTTTATGAAGATTTATATTGCATCTCTTTCACCGAAGCTGATTTTCTTTTAGGGATGTCACAAAGCAAATAACAGTTCCTCCTTTATGAACTTTTAATCTTCCATCAGCTGGTAGAATAGTTACACACACACACACACACACACACACACGTAATTCTATGGAGAGAATCTCTTATTATTAGCTTTTGGTGTAAAGGCATACATGGTTCAGCTGGAATGGTAGTTGTAACCACTGTATGCAGTACATGTGTGTACACCTTTAAGTCATCATTAATCAAATATCTACAAGAAAATACAAATCTCAAAGCAGGACCTGCATAGAACAAGGGGCTACAAAGGGGTATCAGGTCGGGGGCCGCCACAAAACATAGATCCCCAAATTCTACATTAAATAACTTTGATTACATCACCTATCTGAATTATAGCATCAGAATCCTCGTTGAGGCCCATTGCTGAAGCCAAATCCCCAAAAGCCCCCTTTGGCACATCTTTCAATCCATACCCGCCCTCTCGGGAGGTCAATATGTCCGATGCCCTGAAATCGAATTGAAGAGATGGTCAACATCTCACGGCCTGATGGAGTTCTTGTGCTCAATAATCCTTTGTTTCAGCACATGTGTTGTTTTACCCATATGCATCTTTTCACATGGGCATTTTACCAATAGGAAACCTTTTCTGTGCTGCATTTGATAAACCCCTTAACGGTAATACTCTTGCCCGATCTCAGATTTCTTTCATTTCTTTCGCACAATGTTGAGTGTAGCCTCTGTCTAAACAGCCTTGTTTTCATAGTCTCAGCTTTGTCAATAAATTCCTCATTATTAAAACATGCTTCTGAGGTTATTAAACTGACCATATTCTCTACATGACAATACTTCAGCACTCTGGGAAAAGCACTGGCAGCGAGGAGGAATTGGTTCATATTAGTTTCTCTTTGATATTAGGTAGTTAAAGCCACATCTCAAAAAATACTTAGTTCATAATTATATTCCAGCTTCAATCAGCCAACTTAGTAATGACTCAAATTTGGCAAGCTTTCTCTTTTGTACAAAGGATTAACCCAACGCTTTAATATTTTGGGAAAGCACTTAACCACTCTTAAGCACTCTTAAGTCTCTACGTAAATTATAAAGCCACAACCAAGTTAGCTTAGCTTAGCACAACGGCTTCAAACAGAGGAAATCCTGTGTTTGTCTCAAGTAAAATAGCAGTACCTTTAAATTCTTCTGATTAATCTTCTGTTTAATTTGTACAAAGCAAAACCATTATTTGGGGTGATAATTCATATCAGATCGAGATGGATTTCTGGCATAACATCATTTTTAAGCCATTGCCAGGTCTTCACAGGCTGCCTGGTAACAGCATAGTGATGACAACACTTCAGGAAAATACTGCTTGTAGCCAACAAATCGTCTGCTAAACTAAACTCGCTTCTCTTTGTGCCGGTACATTAATCATAAGGAGATTTGTATCAATTGTCTTATCCGTGGCTATATCATTAATTGATATTAATCGACAGTCCTCAACACAGTACCCGTAAAAAGCACCTAACCTCACAGCT